GGTGGGGCTTGCGATCCTTTATTTTTATTAACATATGCTCTTATACAAAATATTTTCTTAAATTTTAATGTAAGAGTGTCATATTTATATACAATAAAAATTCTTATATTTAGCCTTCATCCTCCATTTTCCACTACCATGCATTATGCTTCCAGCCCAACTTTATATCTTTTCTTTAAATATTTTTTGATTGCCACTAAGCTCAATGGATTCTGACCATTTGTTCCTTGGTAGGGAGCCTTCCACTGCAGTGTGAATTCTCCCTCCTCCAGCAACTATTTATTGAAAATAGCTCCACAAAAAGGGATGGAGCATAGGGATCGTCTGTACCATCTATACTAGAATTTTTGACAACTTGATCTTGTGTAGGTCTTCTACAGGTTTATGAGTGAGATAAACATGTCGTTTATGAGACAACATTTCATAGCATTCCACCTCTGCTTGCTCCAAATCTTATGGTCTTTCTACTTCCTTTCTCTTCAATGATATTCCTTAAACCTTGACAGGGGTGTAATATATATGTCTCACTTAAGGAAGTGTTCAACATGCTTAGTTTTCAGAGAAATGCAAATCAAACCAACTCTAAGATTCTATCTTATAACCTGTAAAAATGACCAAGGTTAAAAACACTGGATTTTACTTTAATAAAAGCTACATAATATTCTATATAATTTAGCTGGTTAGGTTATACAGTTTGCTGTGAAATATGTCAATATTTTAGGTACTATTTAAAATTTCTGTCTTATTATGATAGTTTGGTACATATAAAATTTCAAATTATTTGATAATTTTAAGAATCTAATTTATGAGATTGGCATAGTCAGGCAATCTGGAATCCCCTAACTTGTGAAGTTGAGAATGAAGAATTACTGGCTGCATGCTAGCATTATATTGATTTCAAAATCAATCAGTCAAGCAGATCTGGATTTGTATCTATGTGGAAAACCTTTGAGAAAAAAAAGTTTGTATTTGTTTAAGTGTCTTTGGCAACTTTGAGTATCTCGGTGTTAGTGATATTTGGTGACAGAATACATTTAAACTTCAGAGTGTCTTGTTCTAAGACTTCTATCTGCTTTTCCTGTCAGCCCATCTCTTACTGTACCACACCCCACACTGTAACCTTTAGTGACCCTGAGAAGCAAATACACAATACAGTTGAATGTGTGCTATTCTCTGTGGCTTATACATTAGCACATAGCTTCAACCTTTCTTTCCTAGGCAAAGCAATGCACAAGCTTTAAACATTGGCTAAACAATTATTACACAATCTGCTACATAGTCTCTATTGCTCTTTAGATCTCACCAGAGATTTCTGTACACTTATCTCTTAGATTTTAAGAACAAAAAAATGAAGACTTATTTTATTATTTACAAAAATTGTTTAATTAAAATGGTAAATATCCCATATCCCACAAAGTAAAATCCAGTCTTTCTTAATTTAGAGATGAAAACTTGTAAATTCAGCTCATAAAATTCTTATCATTTATTTTGTTATAATTATAAACAACTCTCCTATAACTATAAAATTTGTTGCCCAAAATTAATGTTATACATTCTAAAGTGCTTATTAAGTGAATTAGAAACTGTGAGTCAATGACATTTTAATTGCTTCATGATGAAATGATTAAACTTATTATTGAATGATTTACATCCAAATTCACTTTTTTCTCTAAAAGGATAAATTTTATACTCTTCCAGTAAATGATTTGTATGATCTTTTCTGATCTTCTAACTTACATATCTATATTTCAATTCCTTTGGGAAAATTAAAAGTGTTTTAGTTACTATATGAAGATAAGTTTTCCAGCTATGGTATACCATACAGTAGTCAGTAAAAATTTCTGTAAGCAAAATAATCTTAATATAAAGCAAGAACTCTTGAATATATGTTTCTGTTCATCTATCTAGTTATAAATTATATACCACTCACTTCTCTTTTGTTTTTCTATCAGAAGAGAGAAACAGACAAATGAGTAGACTGGAAAGCAGATGCTCCCACATGTATTATGCAGAGAAAAAGAATATCTCACAGTATATAACAGCAAAAGAACGTATGCTGTTCCATTTTACTTCATTTGGTATATTTAATCATCTTATTTCATTGTTTGAGAAGACATGATGATGAATCTAACAAAGTGAATATTGAGACTTTACTAATTAGAAGGAAACAGGATATACTGAAGCTGTTGTATACATGTCAGAATCGATGAAAGATCCACTCTCTACAAACAAGAAGTCATATTTCACAGTTACACTGCAATTACCCACTTATTTCACAGCTGTCAAAAGACATAGTCTTGAAATATGACTTTTTGAGGCACATACTCAAAAACCTTTCTCAACATTTTGCCAGAGAATGTTTCAAAAGACCCAAGCATACTATCTTTAGAAAAATCTAAATCAAAAGGAAAAGAGACATCAACATCTGCTATGTGACTTTTAGTAGCATTTCAAATATTCCTTAATTAATGTGTCATGTGAATCTAGTGGCTTTTCATACATATGGGAATTTAGAAAGTTATAGCTATTTAATTTAATAAAAAATAACAAAGGTTTGATTAAAACAGGAAAAAGTTAACGGTAGCATGGATTAACTCAGGAAACGTTCATTAAGCTCAATTGTGTGAAAAAAATGTGATAAGTGAAAAATATGTGATACATGCCTGTGACAATCTCCATGGCTGATATTTTTAAATGATTTTCTGTGTTACAATTGTTTGTTCATTTGTAATTGTATAGCAATTTGAATTGGTTCTAGATATGTAATAGTCAGAGTGTGGCAAAGGAAAAACAAATGAAAGAAAAATATATCAAAGGTACTGTGGTTTAAGTATCACTTGATCAAGAGTAAACAATATTAAAGAATAACAAGCTGGAATTTATTTATATATTCAGATTATAAAATTAATCGGGAAAGAATAAATATCAGCATAATGAATAAAGTTGGGGCTGGTTAAATACCAATGTTTGTTCAAACAGACAAATATATATATTTTTTAATATAATTATATATTTATATAATTTTAAAAGTACTGGTAAGATTCATAGACTGCCTCTTAGCAGATTTGTCACAGCCAACTGCTTGTGGCATTTTCCTGGTCCTAAAACCTATATAACTTTTGCAATATTAATAATTTAATCATTTTAATGCATAAAACATACCCTTTCAATTATATAGTTTCCAGGCCCATAAAAACCGTTACAATTTTGTAATCTTCTAGCTCTTCAAAATCAATCACATATAATAATCCAGGGAGAATTCCCAAACAACCCAAGCTGTTGCCAGGGTTAGAGTTTGATTGCAGTAACTAACAGTGAGGCCTCATGAAGAAGACAACACCTAGGTAGTTCATTGAACGCTGAGAGGTCGAGCTATTGCCTAACTAGAACCTTGACACTACAAGCTATTTTTCTTGGTACTGGAAAGTACTCTGCATACTACCAAAGAGGAAATATACCACCAACACAGCCACAAACATTTTGATCTGCAATAGTGTCCTATACATAAAATATGCTAGTCCAATGGTGTCACAAAGCTTGGTGATATAACCAACCAACACCAGATTTGATTCAAGACACACTTGATGGATGTGAAAATGGCCGTATGTTATGACCGCAGATTAGTTTAGTGTTTTTATGTGATTACTGAAAGTGTCAATCAATGGGTCTCTCCATCTATCTTTCCTTGTGGTTTTCTTGGGTTTACTTCCTTATTTTGTCCTATTCTTATGCTTTTGTTTTTATTTGGTCATAATATATCATATTATAATTATTTTATATTATATACTGTAATATATTATATAATATATAATAATATAATATAATATATTATATTTTAGAAGCCCCTTGGTTTTCTAATGAGAGACAGAAAGGATTGGGTACAGATAGAAGGGGAGTTGGTGTGAAACTAGAAAGAGTAGAGGGAGAGATAGCTTAATCAGAATATGGCAGATGAAATTAATTTATTTTCAACAAGTGAAAAAAAACTAAACTTAAAAAAGGTAAAATGTATTATTTATTTCTTAAATACTTCAAATACATACTTGTTGCTTATATACTTCATCTATATACTGGTATGCACAGTTTATAGACAACAGCCAACGTTGACATTTGTAAAGAAACTTCACAAAATATTGCTAACTACTGACACATCTTTTCAGTTTTGATCTTCTGAAAACATTTTAGACAGCAGTAATCCTTTAGAAAACATCCTCACTTCACAGAAACCTAGTGCCCATTTAGTCCTGAAGCTGTCTGCTTTTTGAGTGAACTCAATTTTATTGGACTTGACAGTATCTCGGTCCAATCTTTTTCTTTCCTCCATGTTCAATAACAGCACTGTACTCGAAAATCAAAAACAGCTTCGTACATACAAAAGTGCATGGAGAGAGAATAAACATAGGTGTACACATGTCTGTCAATCTTTTGGTATTACTAGAGAAATCCATGTTAGGGCATGAGACAAGGGAGAGAAGTCTTTTACTTCTAGATCACTGAAGTTTCTTTCACAATGTTTTACTTCTATTCTGCTCTCAACAATTGGTAACTGAAAAATAGCATCACATATTAAAGAATTTAAGCAATCAGCAACACAAATTTTCTTATTAGGTTACAACAGTATTGGATATTAATTCTAAAAGATATAGTATTCATTCTTATGTTGCAAACTGTTTCTACATATGAACTGAACTAGGCTGACATAACTGGCTAAATATTTGGAATGAAATGAGCTAAAACAAACCATTTTTTTCTTCTCCTCTACCATAAAATAACAAAATGTTTAACACAAAAATCTCATTAACTGGTTTGTAGACTAATGGTAAGCCAGAAAAAAATATACAAAACAAAGCTAACAAACAATAAACACATTTGTATTATTCAAACATGTGACACTGGGCTTTAGTATAAAGATATTGTTTTATTTAATCCTTTCTTATGTACCTGAAATCGCAGCAGTTAAATTATGAAGGTTGCTTACCACCATTAAGAAAATAAAAGTCGTGTTGTATGAAAGGAGAGAAGGTTAGCACTCTTCTTGATAAGGACAGAAGAGGCCCTGGGGCCTAACAACACGCATATGGTTAAGGCATTGCCACCTACTTCGTGGCATCTAACCACTGTTTTTTTTTTAAATATTTATTATTTATTATGTATACAATATTCTTTCTCTGTGTATGCTTGCAGGCCAGAAGAGGGCACCAGACCTCATTACAGATGGTTGTGAGCCACCATGTGGTTGCTGGGAATTGAACTCAGGACCTTTGGAAGAGCAGGCAATGCTCTTAACCGCTGAGCCATCTCTCCAGCCCCTAACCACTGTTTTTGCAGGGAAGCACATATCTTAACTAAGGGAGCAATCTTAGGGTTGACAAGAGACTTGGACCTAGAGGGGCTCCCAGGTGCCCAGGGCGATGTCCCCAGTTAGCTCCTGGGGCAGCTGAGGATAGGGAACCTGAAATGACCCTGTCCTATAGCCATACTGATGAATATCTTGCATATCACCATAGAATCTTCATCTGGCGATGGATAGAGATAGAGACAGAGACCCACACTGGAACACTGGTCTGAGCTCCCAAGGTCCCAATGAGGAGCAGAAGGAGGGAGAACATGAGCAAAGAAGTCAGGAAGGACCACAAGGGGTGCACCCACCCACTGAGACAGTGGGGCTGATCTATTGGGAGCTTACCAAGACCAGCTGGACTATGACTGAAAAAGCATGGGATAAAACCGGACTCCCTGAATATGGTGGACAATGAGGGCTGCTGAGAAGCCAAGGACAATGGCACGGGGTTTTGATCCTACTTCATGTTCTGGCTTTGTGGGAGCCTAGCCAGTTTGGATGTTCACCTTCCTAGACCAGGATGGAGGGGGGGGGGGGGGACTTTGGACTTTCCACAGGGCAGGGAACCCTGACTGCTCTTCAGACTGGAGAGGGACTGGGAGAGGAGTGGGGGGAGGGGGAGAAGGGTGGGGGGAGGGAGAGAAGGGTGGGAGGAGGGGGAGGGAAATGGGAGGCTGGAAGGAGGCAGAAATTTTTCTTTTCAAAAAAAAAATAAATAAAAATAAAATGTCGCTGGGCGGTGGTGGCCCACGCCTTTAATCCCAGCACACTCAGGAGTCAGAGGCAGGCAGATCTCTGTGTGTTCAAGGCCAGCCTTGTCTACAAGAGCTAGTTCCAGGACAGGGACCAAAAGCTACGGAGAAACCCTGTCTCAAAAATAAAAAAATAAAATAAAATAAAATAAAACTGTTTAAGAAAATAAAAGTCTTGAAATTTGAATATGAGTAACATTGTGAGAGGAAAGTCTTGCAACTTAGAAGGAGCTAGAAAAGTTCACTCTGAAGAATATGTCTACACCATAATACAGGCAGGGAACAGAAGAGCCCTCTGAGACTAAGACAAAGAACTTGATGTGGGAGTCATAGACTTACCAACAAGAAAGAATGTGGCAAGGAGATAAAGATTGTATGGCTGTCATAACAAAAATGATTATGGCATTGTTCTATGAACTATGTGAAGAACTATGTATATATAAATAATTTATTCATATATATATATATATAATATACATAATAGTTTATAAAGAAGCAAGATGTTTTAAAAACCTAGCTATCACTTTTAGGTGAGTAACTACACTTGTGGATGCAGAACAGTGGGAAACTGGGTCAATGAGAATTAGAATGGGGTTCAACTATTTTCTTATACTTTCCAACTAGATTTCCCATAACTAAAGCAAAGAGAGAAATAATGAAAATAAGATTACTTAAGGACCTCATCCTGTTGGCAGGTTCAGAGAAAATAATTTTCTTACTAAAGGAATCAATGGTAAAGAAAGAAGTAAGCTTAGAGTGAAATTAAGACGCTTAAATTTAATTATAATGTGAAACTATTAAGGAGATAACAATATCTATTGTCAAGATAAAGATTTTCTCTAGGAAAAATAATACACATTTTTAATAGGAAAATTGCAATAAGATTATGCTTTTCTGGTATCCATCAAGTCTTCAGCATGGAATTTACCATTAGGTATGTAGCAGATATCTAGAAGTGAGATACTGTTCCTGAAGGAAAGTTCAGAAAGTAAGCACAGTGCCTCCAAACTTGTTAAAATACAATTCAGTCCTAAGACTCACATTTTAAACATAAAAGTGTGGCCATGCCCAGCTGTGCTCCCAGAACTCCCACAGTGAGCTTGTGCAGGGAGCCAGATACAGGAAAACAGCTAGACGCAATAGGAGAAATAAGAGAGATCTTGACTCAGCTATGTTCTGACCTGTATTCATGGGCTGTGGGAAACATGCAAGCACATGCACGTGCATGCACACACACACACGTAAATATAAGTAAATATATGCATAGACAAATAAATAGAATTAAACGTCATTTTCATATGAAATATACAATTAGAACCACTCAATAATAGATAACAAAGCTTTTATAATATAATAAAATTATTAAATTTGAGGAATTTTTCTTCTGGACACAGTGACATAATACAGACTTGGTTGAGCACACATAAAGCAACAAATTTTGACCATAACATTCTCAATGATAGAAGAGTTCAAAACAATTCAACAGTTTTATAAGACAAATTAAAGACACCAAAAGAACCTAAAAACATATAGGTATGTCTACAGCAATTGATCAGTGATTAATATTTATCAGGGCTCATCCTGAGGACCTGAGTTCAGTTTCCAGTACCCACATCAGGTAGCCAAAAACAAATTGTTAACCAGATACCATAGGATCCAATACATTACTGGCATTCACAAATGCACATAAATAATATCTTCTTTAAAAATACAGTATTCAATATAAAACATAATGCAGTGTTGATGGAGGTTTCTGCCCTGCCCAGTCCCACAATAAACATACAGAAACTATATAATTTTCAATACTCATAGGGCATTAGCTTAAACAGATTTCTAGCTAGCTCTTATATTCTAAACTAACCCATCTCTATTAATCTGTGCATCACCACAAGGTCGTAGCCTACAGGTAAAGTTTCTGCAGGCTCCAAGGGAGGCCTCTGTCTCCTGTGGTGGTCACATGACTTCTCTCTGACTGTGCCTACTCTCTCTATACCTCTCTTCTAGTCTGGCTAAGTTCTGTTAAGACACTGGCCGAAAGCTGTTTCTTTTTTAACCAATGGCCATAAAACATATTCACAGCGTAGATCACCTCCCACATCAATACAGACAACTAATTAATTCTAGGAATTAAGTTTCAAATACAATTTACAAAGAAGAAAACTTGAGAAGGGTATGAAATGAATCAAGGATTGACAGCAATGTACACACCCTTATTAATGATATTGCATGTAAAATAACTAGATACCTCAGTTAAGAAAAATAGTATGTTAATGTAAATACAAAGCAACTGCTGTTCTGGTTTACATTCTTTTGCTCTGATAAAACACCATGACTAGCCAGGCACTGGCGGCACATACCTTTAATTTCAGCCCGCTGGAGGAGGATGCAGGTGGATCTCTGTGAGTTTGAGGCCATCTTCATCTACAGAGCTAGTTTCAGGAAAGGCTCCAAAGCTATACACAGAAACCCCATCTCAAAAAAACAAAACAAACAAACAAGCTCACTGGTTACCTGAATAAAAGCAACCATAGCAGGAAACTGATCATTTTATCTTAAGCTTCCGGGACATAACCCACTGTAGAGGGGTGTCAGTATAGAAACAAGAGGCAGTGATTTAGGAGAATAATGTTGTACAGCTCACTAGCTTGGCATACTGATTGCTCACTGGCTTGTGTTTAGTTAGCTTTCTTGTCCAGCCCAGACTCACCTGCCTTAGGATGGTGCTCCCCACAGTGGGTTGGGTCCTCCTATATCAATAAAGAAAATCTCTCATAGACATGGCCACATACCAATTTGATCTGGGAAATCTCTCTACTGAGACTTCACGTTACTCTAGGCTGAGTCAAATTGATAGCTGATCTAACAAGGACAGTAAGCTCCATCCATGTAATTTTAGAAACATGCTTTTACTGTTAGGTTTATTTTAGAGAAATAGGAGCAAAAGAATAAAAAATATTGTAATACAAATCAGTGTAAAATAGAGCAATATAAGCCCGACAGATGAGGTACCGAAAGCTGCTGCTTATTACAAATTTTGGTCAGAACTGAACTATATCCTAGTTGGTTTTATGAAACTTTGTAAATAAGTGGTATTATCAAATATAAACTTATATTTAATTAGTGAATTAAAATAAATAAGACAATGTTGTTATATTTTTAAGTTTATACAGACATCAAAAATCTTAGATTAATGTACTTGCCTTAATAGAAACAATCAATCAAATGCGAAAAATTCTAAGGTAGTTTGTCATGCACTCTTGACCTGTCTGAATCTCACTGTGTAGCTAAGCATGACCTTGAGCTTCTGATTCTCTTTCTTCCAATTCCAACATGCCAAGATTATACACATTTACGCCCAAGCACTATTCATGCAGTGTTTAGGATCAGGAGCTCCTACATGTTAGGCAAATGATCCATAAAATCAGCATTATCCTCGGTCTAAAAAACATCATGCTAAATGATAGTTGAAGAATTCCTTTTCCTTCAGGTGAACATGAGATTTCCATTAACAATATTACTCATTTTGTGCCTTATCCCTTGCTGTGTTTTGTCGATTACCAGAAAGCCAGTTGCTGGGCACATAAATTATAATATAAACAAATAATTTTCATGGTTATCTTGGAGTGTGTGCAAATCTTGATAGTGAATGTGATGAATTAATACAGGCAGAAGTTTGTCAATATTACTGAAATCTGTTCTTAGTAATTGTAGCTATTGGAGTCTACTTTTCGTAGCTCTAGTAAAACTGTCAATTCTCTATGCTTATAACTGTATGATGAATATGTTCACTTCTAGTGTTAGGTTGATTTAGAGTTTCCTTGTGGATATTTTTTCAAAGTTTTTGTGCCTGGACCACAGATTACCTGCTCTTTTCTTATGCTTCGAAACTGCTCGCTTTTAAAATAAAATTTCCTGTTCCTTTTGTAGCCAAAGAAAGTCAAATATCATTTTAGAATCTTATGAAAATGAAGAATCATTCAGATTTACTGGAAAAATAGACTTTAGTCCCTGTCACATCTTCCAAAAGTGAGGG